TTCCCTACAATCCAAAAACACACAGATTTAATTTAATTTTTCACTCTACACTGACCTCAGGTGTGAATGTGAGCGTGAATGGCCATTTGTCTTTGTGTGTGACAGACTGGCACAGATCAAAGTTGTCAAACTGCATTAGAAAACAGAAACATATATTTACTCATATACACTGTATACATTTAATATATACATTATATCATCTTTTCCCAAAGACTGGGTCGCGACCCTCAGGTGGGTGAATAATGTCTATTGATATGTATCGCTAAAGTTTGTGACTTTTGAAATATGGGTCCCCAGAAAAAGGGTTTAAACCAAACAATTAACACAGCGTTTGGTATACACAGGTAAAACAGATATTCCACTCACCGCCACATGCTCTCTCTGGTTTGACGTAGAAGTTGACAAAAGCTGACAGCTCTGTCTGTGGGGAGAGACACAGTTTTTCATCGTATCATAATGTTATTGACTCGTTTGCATTTTGAAAACAAAAAGCTGACTGAGATTTGGCCAAGGATTCTCTTCCACTTCCTGAGTCAGCTCCACAGGAGCTCTCTCTGTTTGGCAATCAACCTTGATCGTCACTGGTCATCATCCAATGAGTCACTGTTTTGTTTTGTTTGTTTATATTTTAAATCATCAATCATCACTAGTTCATAAACTAGTGTAGCAACATTTCCTTTCGGATCTACCTGTTGGTCCGTGGTGAAACCTCGCCCCCGTCTGGTGATTGTTGGCATTGACCTCAGCTCCCTCTGTGTCCCGGCGACGGTTCAAACTGTAGAAGAAAACAAGAATAACTATCAGTAACATTTTATTGTTTGACTGTATGAAGAGTTGTTCAGGGTTTTTACACACCCACGGTGACTGGTCTGCTTCTTCTTCCTCCTCCTCCTCTCCTTCTTTACATTTTACATGTTTGTATTGTTTTATTTATTAAGAATTTTAATTTTATACATAATTTTAAGTACTTTAAGTTAATTTATTATATTATTATATTAACTACAGTAGTCCAGATTATTTATTATTCTAGTTTAGTTTAACTATTTTATTAGTCTTTTTTAATTAATATACTAATGTAGATTTTTTTAATTTTTTATTTCAGTGATTTTAGTAATCTGGTTTCTACATTATTCCAGTCTTTTTTAATTATTATACTTGTCAAGTCTAGGTCCTTGAACTGCAATTTCAATTCAAATTAATGTCCTTGAATCATTTCATACATCATTCTTTTACCAGTTCAGAATCATTACTCCCCAGGTTAATATCAATCTCCTACATACAGACAGCGGTTGCAAAATGTTTTTGGATGAGAAACTACAGCATCACCTGACATTTTTAGTGATGGAAAACTGTAATTTTAACACTGTATTTTTTCCACGATGGCCCCACGCAGTGACGTCAGCACAGCTTGAAGTCTTGGCCGTGTACATGAAGGGTTTTCATTTCAAAGAGCTGGAAATCCATTTAAACTCATAAGTCATATCTATTCATCTGTCAACATTTGTGAAAACCCACACAATCTTTGTCTCATGTAACATACACATAATATATGTAACAAATAACAATCCCAAGTGTTCTGTCTGGTTAGGCCATTATTTATTTCCCAGTTGACGTGTTGGAAATTTGCAGCATATTGTCTTTGGCACAACAAAACTCTTAAATAAAACAGCGTGCCTGGACTGGACTGGACTGGACTGGACACATTGATGAACTACAAACAGGGGTCACTGCACCGAACTTTGTTGAGAGAAAACGTCTAACGCTTTCCATAAATTGACAGGAAGTCCTGAACGTACCTCGTCAACCTGCTTTCGCAAGGGATTTCAAGGTCAACAACAGTCCGTCTGTGAGCTCAGCTTTCCTGGCACAAACCTGAACATGAGATGTGAAGCACGTCATCGTTGAACAGGTTGAGATATTTGCAGCGCTACACTGACGCTAGACTGTTGACTCAACCCACACCTGACTGTTTCTAATTTCAGAGCTTCAGGAGAGGTTCATTTCGAACTCTTAAAACAAAGCAGCAAAAAACAGCTCCACTGTCTGCTACACATGACGTTATGAGATTACAGTTCTTAGATGTGTTTCAGTAAAAATGTCACCCTGGTGTTTTCTGGTCAAGATTTACAGATCACAAAAGCTCATTTCAAACACTTAAAAAAAAAAATACAACTGTTGCCAAGTGCTTTATAGAAAACTAACGAGCAAAGACATGGATATAAACAAGGACAAACAAAACAATGTGCGTGTAATTATGTATTTGCTGGCTGTCGCTTTAAAATGAGACAGTGCAAACACTGCAACTCCTGTGATTTTTTTTTTCTTTCTTTCTTTCTTTCTTTCTCAAGCACGTCCTGGAAATAGTTAGTGACTCCAGTGTCCATTGTGTTCTCAGGTATTGCACAACTTTTGGCTTCAAGTTTAAAGGAGTGAACCCTGCTAGAAGGTGACCTCCGAGGAGTCGAAGGAAACCAAACTCAATTATTTGCCCTTATTTGATTGTCTTTAAATGAGGCCACAAATGAGGTCAGGTCTGTGCTGAAGAAGATTCTGGCCTGGATTGTTTTTTGACACATTAGGCAAAACAAAATTAAAAAAAAAAATTAAAAAAACCTGAGCAAACCCTAGTTTTTCTTTCATAAACAACAGTGAAAGGTGGAGAAATGTTGGTCCCCAACCATTTTTTTAGCACGGACCAGCAGCTGTGTATGTGGGCAGGTTACGCATTTAACAGAACAAATTCTATCTGATTTAATGACTACCTATATAATGTAAATATAATAAGTATTTTCCTGCTATGTAAGTTATTAAACTTTTTAACCTGATTAATTACAGTGTAACTGAGGATTAATCAGGATTTACTTTTCAACAATATTCATTTGTCTACAGCACTGAAATTAGAAATAACGGAAGTGAGTTTTTCAAAATAAAATCCCCAGCAGCTAAGATAAGTTGAAAAAAATGTATCCTTTCTGTGCGGCCCTGTACCACATAATTCATTGCCTGTTACCGGTCCTCAGCCCGGTGGTTAGGGACCCCAGCTATACAGTACAGTACAGTAGAAGTAGAACATTGTCTGTGACATTGAACCCAGCGTAGAATCAGAGGGCAGACAAATCGTCTTTTTTTTATCCAGTAACTGTTTTTCCACATTAGAATACAATGTCCACTCCTCCACATGTCCAGTGTTTGTCCTCTCTCCAAAAGACTGGAATGAGTCATACCCGTGCCATATCAAAGAGTGGAGGTCAGTTCAACAAATATGGACGTGTCCAGGCAACATGTCGTCCACTCTCAGCATTTTAAGACCACTCTCAGAGAAACATAAACCTCCTCATATCTTCAGATCATCTATTCTAGTCTTGTTGCCGCTGCTGTGTTTGGCGTTGCGGCTGTGTTGAGTCTGCGTGGGTGACCCAGGGGGCGATTCTGCTCCCTTCTTTTCTTTCAGGTCACATTCCTCTGTCTTGCTGCTGCTGCTCCTTTCCACTGCTAGGTTGTCCTTATTCTGTTTATACGCCGCCTTGCTGTGATAGGGGTGAAAGGATGAGTCTGTGCCCTCGGACAGAGGAGACAGGTTGTAGCTGGGCACAGGTGGGTAGCCGGGCTGGACTTGGTGGTGTCTGTGAAAGTATTCGTCGTAACTCGGAGCAAAGGGCACGGCGGTCTCGCTCGGCTCCTTACAGACAGTGTGACCTAGGGACCGTTGAGTTCTTCTAAAGGTAATGCCCTGGCGACACTTGGTGAAGCCCAGGTGGTAAATCTCCACCAGGTTGAGGAAGAGAGACAGACTGGCCACCGCCAGCATGAAGATAATAAAAATGGTTTTCTCAGTGGGGCGGGAAATGTAGCAGTTCACCGTATGGGGACAGGGCCATCTGTCACACGTGTACATGGGCTTCAGCTCAAAGCCATACAGGAGATACTGGGCCACAATAAATCCAACCTCAAACAGGGTTTTAAAAACCACATTAAAGACATATGTGCGTAAAAGCTCCCCCTGCAGGCGCACTCTGCCCTTCTCATCCCTTATCAGAGCCTTTTTGCGGTGGGCGCCCACAATCAGGGCCTGCTTGTCCGAGTGAAGGGCATTTACCCGCGCTTTCTCCTTCTCTTTATTCTTGTCCTCCATCCGCACCAGGTGAAGGATGTGACCCAGGTAGATGAGCGTAGGCGTGGACACAAAGATGATCTGCAGCACCCAGAAGCGGACGTGGGAGATGGGGAAAGTGATGTCGTAGCACACGTTCTCACAACCCAGCTGTTTGGTGTCGCAGGTGAAGCCCGACTGCTCGTCGCCCCACACTTTCTCCGTGGCAGCACTCAGGATCAAGATCCGAAATATGAAGAGGACGGTGAGCCACACTTTTCCCACCACCGTGGAATGCTCCTGGGCTTTTTCCAGAAGCTTTCCCAACAGGTTCCAGTCCCCCATGGCTGCTAGGCTCGGTCCCGGCACTGTTGAACCAGTGACACAGTTTACAAAACAATCATGTTTTGTATTTCTTTAAATGAGGGTAAACTACTTATGATCAGCATAAACCTGATCTTGAACTGGTTAGAGCTGGATCAGTTAAAAAATAAAAAGTCTTACCGAGTTCAGAGGAAAAGTCTCAGAGGAGCCGAGGGACAAACAGAGTGAGGGACTCTGCTGCTGCTGGTCAGGTAGGGTGCTTTTCCACATGCACCCGGACGGGATTATATTTACTTTAGGAGGGTATATATTTGGCAAGTGTGGACAGGGTGGGGGGTGGGTTCCTGTCATGAGCCTGCAGCTCCTGGCCTTCATGACCCGAGTCACAGCAACATGATCCACATCAACTGAAATCACACCGGGAAGACGCGGAGGAAGCGTGAGAAAGGAGCAGATGACGGATGACGTTCAGTTCCTGTAACACATTAAGATTTCAGAGGAAGTAAATTCTAATTTTGAGGATTGACTTGGACAATAGGTTTACAGAAATGCTGAGTCTATTCAGCCTTGAGGGGTTGAACAACTGCTACCCATTAAAACGTGCCACACATAGGTGACATGAGATGCAGTAAGAGTGAGTGTTAGTAGAACATTTGAATACAAAGAAAAAAATACCGTAAAATAATTTGACCACATCACATTATTTTTAAAAACATTTTTACTTTTAGGAAAAAAAAACAATTAAGCTGGATTAACACTTGAAATGAAATAAAACTTTACAGCTCAACCATTGACAAATATATAATACTAACTTACCAAAGCTGCGGGAAACGTCAGAGAGATATGTCTCCAAAAACTTTAAAAACAAAATCTTGTATGTTAATAACAATAAGACCAACAATAATGTAAAATAAATGTTGTCTTGAAGGCATGGGAAAAGAAAGACTTCTGATGAATGTCAACAAACTGCAGACAGAAAGAGCTGTATGATGATAAAGAAAATTTACAAAGAATCAAACACAAAGACACATGCACTGATTGAACCTACCTACGCGCACATCCCAGGTGTTGAACTTTCTGTCTCTGAAGATCCATGAGGCTGCTCTGCTGCACTGACGGGCCTCGGTGCTGAGCTGTTTTTCCGGGGGGCCCCCAGAGATACCCTTGAAAGGACAGGACAAAGTGTGGTCTCCCACCGATCACTGCCTTTCTTCCAGCCAGCAGACCCACAGAGCCAAGTCTTCTGTTTTTTAAAAAAAAACCTCAACCAAGAACAGGACTCAGACCCTAGGGTCCTCCACTGGGTGAACCCTGAGCTACGTCTGCCCCTCCCCCCTCACTCCTCGTTGTTAAATTTGGCTCAGGACTTACTCTGGAATATAAACGATTAAAGCCCCTCTACTCAGCTGAACGGGTGAGTGACTGTGTTAATGGCCAATGGTATTGTCTGCAGACGTTGTCCGGCCACAAGTGCCTGTAGTGTCTAAATATAGCAGGAGGGTCTCTCCTATCACAGACGGGATAGGGCGGGGGTGAGGGGGTGACAGGATGTGTGTGTGTGTGTGTGTGTAGCGTGCAGGAGTTGGAGATGAGTAACTGTTTGCATCCTCAACATACCGTACAGACGGAAGTCAGTGTTGGATTTAACAATAGCAGCAGTGACATGACAGCCGCTCCGTGGAGTCCTGGGTGGAAAACGCTGCTCATTAATGACTGCATTCACACACAGGCCGTCGCACGAAGCAGCGTTTACTCTAAACCTCTTACACACACATTTCGTTCAATACAAATGTGGGTGCAATAGTGAAGATTTCTTCTTCTTTTTCTTAAGAAACTCACTGTAAAAACTACAACAATGAGTTGATTTAGTCAAATTAACAGGTAGTTTATTTTATATATATATTTATATATAATCACACAATATACATGTGTACTCACTGAATACTCCTTGTGGATTGTTTACCTGGATGTAAACTGAAGATATATACACTAAGGCATATAAATAAATATACAGGGTGAATTTACTGTATAGTTGTTTTATGATGTACACAGGAAAAGGTTAGCTTCACAACATACCAGCGTAAGAGACGTTAAGATTTTACAACTAAAGGAATAATAATAAACACTACTGTACATACAGTACAGGGTAAAGTGATGGGGAAAGTGAGTCAAGTCTATTAAGCAGAGGTCTCCAGTACTGTGCAATTTACAGAATACAATGTAGAAGAAGCAAAGTAAATATATATCACAATGAAATTTTGAGTGACCAGCCTAATCTGATGGACACACTGTGTACATCAAATAATTCAACTGTCCATCCTTACTCTAATACACAGTGCATTAACATGTTGCCATTTACACACACACACACACAATGGGGAAGAGTTTTCCTTTCTTAGAAGCAACTCAAGCTTAAAATACCACATCAACGCCCAATGTCTGTGGAAACTTCAACTTCAGTTCAGGCATTTAAAAAAATAATACATTAATACATTAGCTTCTTTGGATTACAGCAGCCATTATGCATGCTGTATTTTAATGTCAGTCATTCTGGTGATACTTTCATTGAAACAAATATTTTCAGAGCCTGTACGCATCCTAAAAAAATGTAGAACCACTGTTCTAAATAGACTGACACGCAGTGGAAGAGTTTGTTGTTCCAGACCTTTCTGAGAACTAACCGCAAGCCGAATGGAGCGGATGAAAGCTGGCTCTTCACCCTGTAACCCTAGACACGCATGCTGATGTTGAACTCAGACCTCTGTGGGAGTCATATCATCATTTCCAGGACTTCTTGGTCTTCCTGGGGCTTAAGATAGTTCTTAATGACACAGGCTTTACGGGCGAGATCGCCGTCCTGCTGCTAAATAAATTTGAGTCCAGTCAGAAGCCTCCTTTGAGGCACTGCGCTAAGCTTGTAATTTTCAGCAAAGAGAATATTATTAATCAAACAAATGCCCAGCTTGATTTTCAGGTGTTCATTAAAACAGTGTTTCCCAAACTTTGAGCCATGGCACATATTTTACATTAGAAAAAATCCCACGGCACACCAAAAAAAAAAAACTGTTACAAAATGGTAGAATGTAATCCTAAAATAATCTTCTAATTTCAATGTATTCATAATTTACTTACTCGGTGTGGTGTATTGGCTGCAGGTGTTGCTGTCTCTCTTTTTTAAGGACATCTGCTGCAACCTATTAAAAAATTAATTGATGGCACTGCCTGTCATGGTTGCACTAAGAAATAAAGACAAATTACTTGCAGTGAATATACAATAGTTTTCAGATCAGTTAAGTGAAGTTAGATTGTTTTTTACAACACACCTGTGTTCATCACATGGGAATCACTGCCTTAGAAAACAGATGTTTTCAGACATTGAGTGAGTCGTTGGTCTACTGCTCTTCAGATTAACGGCGATCTAACTGTCCTTGGCCACAGCACGGTATTCAAAATAAAATTTGGACACACCTCAGTGTAGAACACCGGCTGCGATTTGTCCGTGTTACAGTTTCTATGCACAGTTGAGTCGCTCGGCCTTGTCTCCAGAATCAAAATCAGCCGTAGTTTTCCCGCACTAAAATATGGAACCTCAAAGCTACTTTGCTCTTATTGTAAAAGCATTTAAATGTTAGTTAAAAATAGAAAACTAATTTTAAAAAGTATGGCTCCATGAAAAACCAGTGGATGGTTGAACATACTGTAGGTCCCACTTCTTTCTAATGGCACCGATGGACATCTTAAAATTTTCAAGTTAAAAAAGCGTGAAGTTTCTTTGGCTGTCCGCTGCTTCTGTAATCCGACATTACACTTTCCTTGTGTATCGGGTTTTTTTTTTATCTTGAATCTCCAGCCTTGCTGATGCAACTGTGTACATTGTTTTTGTTCTGTCTTGCCATGGTTTCTGACCTGTGACTTCCACAATCTCATCTTGGTCGCAGAGTCAGGCTGTTCTTCACCCATGTTTACAGCTGTATTTCACCCTACACATGGAAATGATGATTAGTGGTTAGTTATCATTGGTTAAACATACACCGGACAACAATCTGACACAATTATTTGAATTAAATATGCAAGTTACACATTACATGAATGGAAGCTGCTTCTAAAAGCAAAGGGGAGGGAAAAAAAAAACTAAAATTTCTCATGTTTGCTCACATTGAATTGCCTAAATGGATAAAATAAAGATTTTAACATCTTCAGATCCGATGCCCGACATACTGTAGCAGTTTTCTGCACAGTTTTTATTTTGAACAAGATCCAATAATACCAAACATCCAACCACTGGCTTGGAGAAGCGCTAGTTTCTCCCATCTTTAGCCGCAGCCTGTATTAAATTAGACACAGAGTAGCATTTTTCTAATCTCAATCAAAAACTCGGCTTTCCCATCGAGCATTTATTCAAACCAGTGTCTTTTATAATTTCGTCTGATTTACCAGAAATATATTATAATGAATATTACTGCTGAGCACTTTCCACAGTTTACCCTCATTTGTGCTCCAGGCATTTGCCCATTGTTTAAAAAAGAAAATCACTCTGTAACTAAAAATTGATCCACAAAGACATTAGAAATCATCTTTAACACAGTTTGGCTTGGTTGAAGTCGAGTTATGTTACCATCAATATGAGCCAAATTGGACAGAGGAATCTGAAAAATTAGGACACTGGATTCATGCCCTGATGAAAAACTGATATCCCAAACTGGAGTTAAGTTTCCAAACAGCAACATTTATAATGGAAAGACAAATATTCAAGTTCCACTTTTCACATCTTTTATGCCTGTTGTTCTGGGTTTTATTTTCACATACCGCTGTCTGTGAACACAGCTATTCTGGCTGGGATGTTGAGTGTCAAACCAGGACGCAAACACAACATGCTTGCTGGGTTTCGTCAACTTTAGACATTAAAGTGACCCGTCACACAACAGTTACACAAGTTTGTCGCAAATAAATGAAAGCACAGGCCTAATATCCGTAATTTGTTTAGCTCAAGCAACAATCCCACCTTGGCAGCATTTGTAAAAAATGGAAGTAATAAAAGCTGCTTTAAAGAAAAGCCAGCAAAATGAGTCGACGTTGGGCAAATGGTCGACAGTGATGTTGATTTGTAGAAAACCAGCTACAAAAGGAAAAACAAAAACAAATCTCTTACCTTTCACTACTGGCCCTAAATAAATTGAGACAAGTTCTATCAACAACAAAGACTTGTGTTTATGGAATAAATGTAATAAATAAGTGTTGAAATTGATAATAGTCAAATATACAGTACATAACACAGAAGTGTAAATGTTTGTATTAGGGATGCCCCGATACCATTAACAATATTGGTATAAGTTCCCATATGTCATACAAATACTCAAGATGTGTGCTGATCCAGCGACACAATACTGTTAAAGATTTTTACTATAAGCAGCTGCATCTGTTTTGTATTTTCCTACTGCAGTTCGTGTCTCATTGTCCTTGGGGTTAATCAATTTAAGAACATCAACAATGTTAACAATTTGGAGGTATTTTAACATTAGGGACAAAGACGACGAGTGTAAAAGCTCTGCTCACTTTCTGTTCAAATGCCTGTGTTAACATGCAGTCTATGCAGACAATTTAACATTCTTTTTATATATATTATTCTCCTTTATCTTCAAACTGAAACAGTTGTGTCTTTAACCACAGAGCCAGTTCAGTGCATACCATAAAGTGTCAGTACAGTGCTAACAGTACTCGGGTTCAATAAGTACACAAATAAAATACTCATATTGGTTTTGGGGGAAAAAAAGGTGGTATCAGGGCAACCCTAGCTTATATATGTCGTTGATTTGCTGAATTAGTTGTAACCAAGAGCGTTGTTCCAGAAAGCAGAACACCAGTCAACTGCATTACTTTGGTTTTTTGGTCCCAGTAAACTTGGACTTGAATGAATGATCTGCTATCAGTTGATTAATTTCATTTTGCCTGTAAGATGACAACATTTGAGTAATCCTATCACCTTTAGACTCCTCTGTGCCTCCACAGCACTGCTTGCAGGACCTGCAGAAGAGGTACACCGCCTCGGCCAGATTGAGCAGCACACATACCCCAGAGACTGCCAACATAAAGACAGTAAAAATTGTTTTTTCTGTCGGCCTGGAGATAAAACAATCCACTGTGTTAGGACAGGGGTAGGAGTCACACTTCACCAAGCGCACCATCTTAAAGTCAGGATAGATCAAGTAGAAGATGTAGAGAAAGGCAACCTCTAAGATGATTCTGAAGATGATACTGATCATGTATGTCCACCACAGAGCTCCGGTGATCTGGAACTTCTGGTTCTTGATCTGTTCCAGATCCTTGGGACTTGCATGGCCCTTCCTCTTCAGGATCTTCTTGTCAATGTGGCGTCGGTGGGCCACATGCATGGCCACCAGCAGAGCAGGGGTGGAGACGAGGATTAGCTGGAGCGCCCACAGGCGAATATGTGAGATGGGGAAGAACTGGTCGTAACACACACTGTCACAGCCAGGCTGTTGGGTGTTGCAGGTGAATCCAGACTTCTCGTCTCCCCAAACGCTTTCAGCAGCAACGACCAAGACCAGGATACGGAAGATGAAGATGACCGAGAGCCAAATGCGTCCAATGCCTGTAGAGTGCCTGTTTACGCCGCTAATCACGGCATAAAAGGTTCCCCAGTTCATTTTTGACTCCAGTTCTGCAGAGAAGGGACAAGCAATTGGTTAAAGAAAAAATAAACAAGAAAAAGGATTTGATCAAATATTATCTGATCATTTGAAATAAGCACCATTATTGTTTTTTTAGTATAAATTCATATTTAATGCAACCATTTAAAATAAAGGCTTTATATGATTCTTATTGTCCTTACATTAGTTTTAAGGTTTACCAGGCTCAGCCAGCAGTGCAAGCGGCGTAGGCAGCGCCGCTTCCATAGATGACCATCCTGAAGTGCGGCCTGACCTTCAAACTGGATTTGTAAAGATCAACAGACAAGAATTGCCCAGTAGCTTGTTGGCGGTATAAAAGCTGGGGCGATGGCTTGCCATTGTGCCCCGTCATGGGACGCAACAAATCGAAGCCAATTGCAAAACATTGAGCGCGCCACGTGGTCAGCTCACCCCGTATTAATACTGTACTCCCAAACTGACCTACAGTTCAGCTGCTGACAGACAGACAGACTGACTGACTGACTGCCAAAACATTTCTCCAAGGAACCAGCAAGACATCCATCTCATTATGAGATTTTTGTGACGTGAGAGATCTCATTGTTTGCAGGAGAGACTCCAGACTTGACCAAAGAACCTGGTACTTGCGAAAGTCCAGTTTTGATTTAACAACAGTGAGAAATTAAACAATATACCAAGTTATGGGGTCCTAATAAGAGGACCGTCAAGACATCACACAAATAACTTCATTCACTGCACACCAACTGTCAGTAGAAAACAAACAAACAAAAAAAACCCAACACAAACTGCATTTTACCTTTAGCTGTGGTGGTACACACAAATGTGTACGGATCAGGTGGAAATGAATGAAAATATTGTGTTTTTTAGGGAGCCAAAAGGCTGGAATGAGAACACCGTGCGTTCGGAAAATGCTAATCATTCCTCCGCCACTAGCCACTGCCCTGCACCGTAGCGGTCATATGCTCTTATATAAACCATTTACATACAATGGTGGCCTTTATCAAGCTGCAACAAGACTCTTTTAGAATTCAGATCAAATGCCTGGATTTCCGCCTACCCATGGCAGAAGAAAGAATCTGTGTGGACACAAAAGGCCTCTGCCTGTCACATTATTTATTGTGCTTGGCAGAGCAGGGGGAGTGAAGGCAGCTTTTGACCTGAGCCACTGTCATTGAGAGCAACAGTCACTCAGATGTCTGCAGATTCATCAGGAAGATACATGAGTTGTTCAAGAGCTAATGAAGCTGCAAGTTAAAAACATAGAAATACTAACTTCTGTATTTAAATATATATTGTACATGTACATTTTTGACACTATTGGTAAAAAAAAAAAAAGAGTTAGATTTTTGACACTATTGGTAAAAAAAAAATGAGTTGCTGGAAGTTTGATGGCTTCTATCACACTGCATAGACTAGGCCACATTACTGGTGTAATGTCTTGTCAACACACCTCTCTGTGGAGGAACCAGTTACATGCTGTTTTTACACTTACAAATACTATACATAATAAACTTGGCAAAGTCGACCCAAATACTGGAGTAGTGGATAGCACCCTTACCTTACACCATGGAGGTCAGTGGTCCTGGTCTGGTCAGAAAGATGTACTGCGTGGAGACAGCATGCTCTCGCAAGGGTATGGGGTTTTCTGTGTCCTACAGACTTAAAATGTGAAAAACTGAGCACCAGGTTAGTTTTAAAGCAAAGCAAAAATTATTTTTGAATCTATTTGCCTTCTATTTTTAGATTCAGATTGTGTGCAGGGAGATCATGTAAGCTACTTTTGGTGCACTAGCGTTGTGGGACACACAATGGCACAACTCCATCCTTTCAGGTCAAAGGTTAAAAGGCAACAGCCGTCAGCGTAATCCGCTTTACCAAGTTTCTCCAGTCAAACTCCTCCCTGCAACAGTAGCAACAGTTATTTAGTGACAACAAACTGAATGCTGCAAAAACAATGCTGTCGTTTGTCATGTATCATCAGATGACCTACAGCAGTGCACTGTGCCATGAGCACTTCTGCGTCACTTATGACAGACCTGGTGGGAGGGTGTGCGTGGCCTGCTAATTCTTTGAATGAACTAAGGCCCATTTATATTCTCACTTCATATAAAGTTGACTACAACAGCACGAAGTGGAAGGACATAGTGAAGTACATGCATCTTTATTATGAGAACAAAGAAAATTGTTGTCTTTGTAGAAGCAAATAATAACAGAACAATGGCTTCAACTATAATCATATACAACTGACAGTAACGTAAATCAAACCCTGTAACCCTTTATAGGTATGGCCAAGAGTAAACCAAAACTTCCTTTATTTATATAACATTGTCAAGTAGTGCCAAACATTGAGTTTAAATTAAAATTGTATTTTTTTTCCTTGTCTTTGGCTGTCATAGGTGACGGGTTTCTTTTACTTTTTAAAATAACTTGGCTTGTTGAAGCTTAATGTTGTTGAGAATGAGCTTCTGTTTCTTTACAGTCAATTTCAGCCTTATTAACTGCAATCAGAGATACAGATAGAAAGAAAAATACAGGTTAAACAGCAGTTGTGAGAGTAGCTCTGTATCTAGTCAATATATTCAAATATTTTAGATTTTCATTTAAGCACAGCAGTATGTCTCAAAGTTATTATAACAACAAGATGACAGTAACCTTAACATAACCACAACCATCATTTCCTTTTCTCATTGTCCCCACTTGTTGTGAGTGTAACATGAGATGAGGCTTTTTTCCCAGTCCGAAATCTGTGTTCTCTTTTTGACGCCATCTGGTAAGAGAAAAAAACATGACAGAAAGAAAAATACGCTGCCAGGGTCACACAAAGAGATTAGACTACCACCTACTGTAGAAACACACACAGTGAAGTTCGAAGTCAAAAGTCGCTGCACTCACTATTTTTAAGACTGCCATTCTTCAGGTAACTATGGTTTGCATGTCCATTCTGAGCCAGTCTCACTGACAGCGATGCACTCCTCCTGAAAAAGAATATAAAAAATGTTGGACTCCTGTTCTTACATGCTGGAAAAATTCATGACCCATCACAGAAACCATAAGGTCATGGGGAGTGAGGGAGGTGAAGACGCAACAGTGTCAGCTTCTCAGTGCTATTTAAAAAAAAAAGGTTAAATATAATGTGCAGAAAACTCTAAGAACAATTTGTCAAACTGATCCTTATGATCTGGGTTGTTTCTTGTTTCTTTATGTTCTCTAATCTTTATATCCGTTGTCAAAATGTATACCTAACTTTTTGATGTAGGACACACAGTCAGACTAACGCGACCACAATACAACCTGTTGAGCAGATGTTGGACATTATGGAAAACTAATATATAGGAAAAATAAAGCAGCGTTATTCTCTCAGAAGTACCTCATTGCTCCAAGCATTCCCTTTTCCATAAACAGTTCCACAGTAACTTTGGGTCCGTGCGGGTAAAGCCTGGCATAGAGTGTCCTGTTGTGAACCATGTCTTTGAACCAGCCCACTGACTCCTCAGACCATTCTCTCCCATTTAAAGGCGTCACCTGTGGGTCGACAGGAAAGGAGACACAAAACACCATGAACCAAGATAATTCATTTCCTTTATCACGGCGCAAAAGATAAGGCTGAGACTAATCATATGGAACTGTGCCAATGACTGAGGCTACAGTCTACTAAACCATTTCTCCACACATCTATCATTTAGATCTACTAAATACTTTTAGGTGTTTTTTTAGTTTAAGGAAAAAGAAAAAAAAACATCAGAAGAAGCTGAAACTAAACCTGGTTCAAGTTCAAGTCGTTTTTATAGATTTCCATTTAAGTTTGGTTCAAAATGTGAACTCTGCTTTGATCTTTTTTTGGATGGTGCAAACCTGATCAAACTTATCATGTATTCACAACAGCATTCACAACAATGTTCAACAAAGATAACAAAACTTGTAAAAGCTATGAGACACAAAGTTTGACATGTTTTACTTATTCATATCAGACTAATTACATCTTACAACTAACTTACGATTTTATTAAAATAAAAACAAAATGATGTCTGTAAAACAATTTTAACTATAGAAGAGCACATTAACTTACATTTGCAAGTGAAACCTGTATAGCCTGTAGGGGAAGAACAGCCATTTCTGGGGTCAGTGCCCTGATATGCTGCAGAGACAGACAGGCAGTGTCACCATAGTCCAGCCTCTTCACTTCCAATTTGATTGAAGCCTCATGTCCATCTTCTTTGTGATTTTCTTCACACATCAAAAACAGAGAGCAAAATAAGTTGAAAGCTAACTTCTAAGAGGCTGCACACAGGCAAAATGCCACTGCTACCATCTAGAGGCATGAATATGACAAAACATTCTTAAAAGTAACCCACCTTCACTTACACCACATATCTTTGTCACCTGAGACCTGCACCATTGTTCCTGCTTAGGGAACAAACCCATGACTTTGGTTCCAATGCCTGGAATGTAGTTCTGCTCAGCATAAGAACTACTGGCTTTGCAGCTGCTGCAAATGAGAGGACAAAATAATGACAATCAGAAACATGTGGATTATTAAAACAAAGAGGAAAACTACAAAGAAAGCTGTAATATGGAAAAAGGGACATAAGTGGCTCTGTAGGTCCTGTAAATTTGATCAGAAAATCAGCAAGGGTTATAAAAGCTGAGGAGAGGTAATGTAAAAGTTGGAATTTATGCTCAACAACTCACTCACTGAGAAGGGCCTGCAGCTTGGTGCTGGAGTTTGCATGCTGGATGTAAAAGTTTCCAGGGCTGACAACATGGGACACCACAACCTCAGTCTCTTCAAACTTGCGCACCTGGAACTCAGGAATGACGACGGTGCTGATCACTGAGGTGTTTGTATCACCAAAATTGTTGTTTGTTTTTGGTTCTGTGCACTGGTATGTTTGTCTTTTCCCTTGATCTGTTACATTAGTATTCACCACTTGAATGTCTATACTTTGGTGATTTTCATTTTTGGTCACATTGTCATTTGTTTGCGTTTGTCGTACCTCTGTAAAGATGTCTCCTACATCCCACAATTCAGTCTTAGTTGCAATCACACATGTGTAGGTCATTGATCCACTTGGTTCCATTTGTTTTATTTTAAATACAGGTGCTTTGTGATCCATATTTGCAAACAGTGATTCTGAAGCCTTTGATTTCGGTACATTCCTGAACTGGAAGCTTTGCGTTTTAATGGTAGGTGACGTTGACATTGGCGAACACGAAGAGAGCATACTTTTATTCCACTCCATGACAGTGACCTCCACTGCATCCAAGTTTTTCGCTTTGGTTCTGAGGAAGTGCAGGAGCTGAGAGGAAGTCTGCTTTTGGTGTTGAACCTGGACATCATCTGCCTGTCGCCAGCAAATTAGTGGTGTTGCTTTCATCGGTTGGGGGTTACGGATTTGAGGAAATACAGCATTTGTTTTTGGGAGAAGTAGCGGTAGACTCTCTGCATTAATCTCGGGGCGCTGAATAAGGGCAGGTTCCAAAATCACATCATCTCTTTGGCTTTTCGCATGAATCACACACTGTTCCTTCTCCTTGACCTTTAAGTAGCCGGACAAACTCTTCATATGATGAGTACTTTTGTAGCTGGATGAGATACAGTAAATCGTGTCATCTTCTTGGGCTGCTAAAGGCTGGAAAATGAGGAAATGCTTCAGCTGCTGGAGGGACAGCTTCCCTGCAAGCACCTGGACTGATTTTGCTATGGAGTTTGCCAGAAGTACATTCTGTAACATGGGCCCAAACCTGAGAACATCTGTTATAAGAATCCTTTTATCTGCATATGGCTGATGCTGGTTTGTTCTCACTTCTTTCCTGACAGCCGGCTGGATACGAACGTGTGGCTCTGTTTAGAAGAAGTGTTTTAAAGATGTTATGCTACATTGCAAATATTCATCTTCACTTTTAACAACATAAAAAATATTAAAAACATAAGAAACATAAGAAATAGATAATTAGGGCTGTCAAAACAATAGAAATTCTTTATCTGATTAATCACAGGGCAACTGTGGATTACTAACAGTTAATGATTACATTTACATTCTGAAAAAGGACCAAACCTTTTTTTTTTGGTGTAATGCTCATCAGAGAGACAAATAACAGGCAAATTATGTAGCTTCATTGTTAATCCTTCTCTTGTAAGTCGCTTTGAGTAAAAGCATCTGCTAGATGCGTAAATGTAAACGGTGAGGCTTGACTGGATGTTTTAACCTTAAACCGTGAAACCAAAATCTCAGTCTTTATTATCAACATCTGTGTTTCAAACAAACATTAAAGAAACAATTGGAAGGGTGGTGGATTTGTTAAGTTTAAAGCATTAATTATGACAACCCTATTAAAACTAATGCAACAAGCAACTAACCTTAAGTAATAATACATAAACTTACCTTTGGCATTGAGGGCCTTTAATTTTGCCAACAGCTTGTTTATCTCTTCACATTTTTTGTCCAATACCTTTGGCAGATTAAACGTTATATTGGGAAGGACTGAATTCAAACAATCTTGGACAGTGACATAGGCCTGGAAGTATGAAGAATAATATGACACACACAAAAAGAAACAATTGGTTTTTGTTTCAGTTTCAGGCCGAAATATTAAAAAGTTAAGAAATGATCTAATACTTAAAAAAAAATCAAATAATTAAAAGCAAAAAACAAAAGATGTTCTACAATAAAAAAAGTTGCTAGCTTGACGCTACAACAGTTGTACATATAGCTTATGCTGCTAAAAAGGGGGTACATTATATAACATGGGCCCAAACCTGAGAACATCTGTTATAAGAATCCTTTTATCTGCATATGGCTGATGCTGGTTTGTTCTCACTTCTTTCCTGACAGCCGGCTGGATACGAACGTGTGGCTCTGTTTAGAAGAAGTGTTTTAAAGATGTTATGCTACATTGCAAATATTCATCTTCACTTTTAACAACATAAAAAATATTAAAAACATAAGAAACATAAGAAATAGATAATTAGGGCTGTCAAAACAATAGAAATTCTTTATCTGATTAATCACAGGGCAACTGTGGATTACTAACAGTTAATGATTACATTTACATTCTGAAAAAGGACCAAACCTTTTTTTTTTGGTGTAATGCTCATCAGAGAGACAAATAACAGGCAAATTATGTAGCTTCATTGTTAATCCTTCTCTTGTAAGTCGCTTTGAGTAAAAGCATCTGCTAGATGCGTAAATGTAAACGGTGAGGCTTGACTGGATGTTTTAACCTTAAACCGTGAAACCAAAATCTCAGTCTTTATTATCAACATCTGTGTTTCAAACAAACATTAAAGAAACAATTGGAAGGGTGGTGGATTTGTTAAGTTTAAAGCATTAATTATGACAACCCTATTAAAACTAATGCAACAAGCAACTAACCTTAAGTAATAATACATAAACTTACCTTTGGCATTGAGGGCCTTTAATTTTGCCAACAGCTTGTTTATCTCTTCACATTTTTTGTCCAATACCTTTGGCAGATTAAACGTTATATTGGGAAGGACTGAATTCAAACAATCTTGGACAGTGACATAGGCCTGGAAGTATGAAGAATAATATGACACACACAAAAAGAAACAATTGGTTTTTGTTTCAGTTTCAGGCCGAAATATTAAAAAGTTAAGAAATGATCTAATACTTAAAAAAAAATCAAATAATTAAAAGCAAAAAACAAAAGATGTTCTACAATAAAAAAAGTTGCTAGCTTGACGCTACAACAGTTGTACATATAGCTTATGCTGCTAAAAAGGGGGTACATTATAAATAATAATAATACATTTTATTTATAAGCGCCTTTCAAGTCACCCAAGGACACTGTACATAAACAAAACAAACAACACATACGCCCGGAGAGCAGCGGCAAGATACATGCCAGCGTCCACTCTCAGTGGCCAAGATGAAAAACAACTGAAAAAACGATAGGGAAGGAGGAGGAGGGAAAAAAGTCAACTCCAAACTAGGCCCCGTGGGGAGGGGGCGTAGTACACAATTATGAAACACAATGGTTACATTTCAAGTAATGTTGTTACAGAGAGAAAGAACATTTCCCCCTCATTTTGTTAAATTAACAGTACATTTAAAACATAGTATATCGTTTACAACCTGCCTACTAACGATAGCCTACGAGCAGCACACCTGGACTGCGTAACCGGCGACAGCTAACACACTTGCTAATCGAACCAAACAAACTTTTACCTCGTTGACAAACTCGTTGAGTTCTCGTTCAAACATTTTCTTGGCGTTTTCCAGTAAAAACAGCTTGTATAAAAGCTCCACTCGATGTGAAATCACGAAGGATTGGGGCTGAAGATGCTGGTGCCGAAGAGGAATCATGATCGGTTGGGAGGGAATATTTCCTGACTCACCACCTGCTGCTGCTCTAGGCTAGTAGCTGGAGTGAGCTAATTAGCATTAGCTCGTCAGGAAGAGTTACTTTACCTTAACATGTTTGAATCCGAACAGTTCATTTTTTACGACAAGAACTAGGGCCGTACTGAGAAAAAAGATAACCAAGATAAATGTGAATATTAAAAAAATATTGCTCATACGAAAAACAAATAGTCGCAACTTTGTTTTTATGTTCTTAAATATGTTTTCCTTATCATATTACATCTTGTTTTCCCTAAAAACCTATATTTTTTATTAATGAATGTAAAATATGTAAAATTATAGGTGTATTTAGGTTATTAAAAAGATCCTCTAGTATACTGAAATATATATGTACACACTTGAATTAAAACACAATTTAAATTTAAAGAGCCATATTATTTGTATGGAACAATGTTTGTTACAGACAAGACTGTCTATATCAAGATTTTCTTTAGTAGCATCACATTTAATTGGCCAAGGATAACAATGCTTCAATTGTTACTGGAAATACAGTTGCCCTAAAGGGAGAGACTGACAGAGTTACAACTTTTCATCGTGCTAACAAACAAGCTGCTGCTGATATCTAAATACCAACTACCATCAACTGCCAAGGAAAAGAATGAACACAATTTGCTACTTGCATTCCTATGGTTTTACACCTAATACTATCCACACAGTGTTCTTTTCTCCCAGTACTCTTTGTTTGAACTTGTCAAGCTGCTACTTGATCTGGTTCCTAAATCTTGTAGGTGGGGCAAAAGACAAAAGACATTTTCTCGTTATGTTGCTCAATACGTAGATTGACAGGCATCCTGATTATCTTAATACTGTATATGGAATCACAAAGTGATGTGTAGAAGCATTTGTAGAGTAAGGAATTGTGCCATTTAAAGACAAGTACAGCCTTTTTTACAATATAGTTAACAGTTGTATTTTTTCCATCTGTTGAAGCTGCTTACTAAGACGGTGTGAATATCTGTGAACCTACTAAACATGGATAAGCAGAATCAGCAGAAGAACATGACGTTAGGTTTAACTGTTGACTCTAAGCTGACTATAGGTGTAAATATAATTGGTCGTTAGTCTATATATGTAGTCCTAGGAAGGACTAGCAAACTGTCCAGGATGAATCAGGTAATAACAGCCTGATGACTGATGGGATTGGCTGTTGTTCCCCTACAGTCCTAGAAAGGAGTAAGGTGTAGAAGATTAATACATAAAAAAAATATATATAAATAATACATATTTGTTATATACATTTTGAACAAATCTTCATTTAATGTTTAACAATGCATAATTAAAACAAAAATCTGCATTCGCTTACGTAATAAAATACGTACAGAGACTTTTCAGATGCTTTCACCAGGAAGTTGTGCGACTGCAGGAGCAGGGAACAAATTAAATACAATTTATAACCTCATGCAAAACCAATAGCATTTCTTATTATGTAGCAATAAGGAGATGCTAAATGGTAGACTAAAGTCCATTGAGAAAAATAATGTGAATTTGGGATAGACTTGATCTGACTACAGTCCTTCTCACAGAATTGTATGGCAGGCCATGTACAGGTAATATTTATTTTCCCACAAACAGATGAACCCACTCCCCCTTTATAAAACATCACTGATTTTTTTGGTTATTATGCACATGATGACTGTTTACAGTATGGTTACTATGATGTTTGTTATATTATTCATGGTACCACATTTACCACTGGCTTTGGTTACATCTTCCCCAGTCAGCCACAAAAACCTAACAGATTACAGGGCACAGCATGGTCGCATATACCGCGATACATTGAAGTTAGCTCTTGTGTATCCACACTGTCAAATAAATAACTTTATTCAAGAATCTTTACGTGTGTTTACACAGAAACTCCTACAGGCTTTCTACTTGACACTTTATTGACATTTTGAGGTGGTCAGTCTTGATTCTGGAAACATTGTGCAAGACTTTACAGACGTCATAGAAATTTGAGCTGAGGTTAGACTCTTAGCTGCAAACAAACATTTCACAATGGAGGATGGGCAGAACGTAAGTGATTTGGCGGCACTGCAACCGAAAAGCTTGGGAGTTGATAAAGCCAAATTCAATCACAACATCTTGACACGGGGGGATTCATGTCTGACAGACTAGTAATGGGGAGCGGAGTCACAGAGGAGCACTTGGATAGTGTGAGAATAAATGCATGTGTCTCATTATGGAACCGTTACTACTTTACTTAATCAAAAGTCTGTTTGTTTTTATAACCTAGCTGCCATTAAACCGCACATGTGTAAATGCGTCATGCAGAGTGAAACTCACAGGAATCACGCTTCAGTTGCTGCAGTTTGTTCTCTGTTCTCTCCTACGCAGTGCCTTTTACACTGCACAAAATACGCCAGTGATCACACTATTAGCGATACTTGTGCGTAACACAGTTTCCGGGTAAATACAGCAAACACTGTAATCATTACAAAAACAAATAAAACCACAATCAACACGTATCCAAAGCCAACACCCTGGGGTTTGTTCTGAAAGTGACAGTATGATGAAGAGCTATTCATATACTCAGCCATGAAGACTTTTCTGTGACCAAAAAAACATGTTGTATCATTGATGTCAGGTAACTGAATTTTAAACTCTTTTAAAGTTTTAAACCACTCCCTGTCACAGCAGTTGAAGTAATTTCCATTGAAGTACATGATCTGAAGGTTTGATGCGATAACACGCATCATTTAAAGATACAAAGGCATTGTTTCTAATGTCTATTTCCATCAGCGGAGAGCAGCTCAAACTGCTGGGTATGTTGTCAATGTGGTTGTTTGACAGGTTTAGCTGACTCAAGGCTGGCAAACAGGGCAAAGACAGATCACAGCTGGTCATGTTATTTTCACTTATAATCAAGGACTCAAGAGTTTCCTGCACGCCCTCTAGTGCACCTAAATGCATCGCCATATCAATATTTCCTGCAAGATCAAGAGAATGCAAAGACGTTTGCTGAAATGCATTAGCATGAAGTATTCTTATGTTGTTTTTCCTCAGGATGAGGTGTTTAAGTGTACTAAGTTGCTGAAAGGCTACACAGTGTTTATTGAAAAGCATTTGCTGTGTTGGCTCTGAGCTCAAATGGCCCTTGAATGCACAAGGCTGCACAGAATTGTCCTCTAGGTTTAATGTTTCTATTTTGGTTAATGCTTTAAGGAAAAAATGGGAAATGTTCACAAGGCCATTGCTTTTCATGTAGAGTTGTTTTAAGGATGGAAAGTAAAGCTGACGTTGGTATCCCATATTACTGTAATTCCTGACATTCCAGGTGATACTTTGTAGACAGTTGTAGCTGAAATTCAATGTTTCTAAGAAAGACAGTCTGCTTAAAGTCTCCAGCGGGAAAGATGTGAAGTGGTTATAGCTCAAATCGATGTAAAGCAGTGGCATGAGCCTCCAGTTTGCATGCAAGTTGTTTTTGCTAATTATTTTCTCACTCATAATGTCACTGTACACAGAATTAGCTCCTGATACCATTGACGCCTCTGAGTTCAAGGACCCAACCATGTTGTTTTGTAGGTAAAGAAACTTCAACTGGTTCATTTTTGGAACAATTGGGAAATACAAAAGTTTGTTAAAACTCAAATCAAGAACCTCAAGCTCATACATGTGGTCATTTTCACGTGACATAAAAAACTCTATTGAATTGTGGCTTAGGTTCAGGTGTTTCAGTTGAATTAATGTAAAATCACAGATATGAGCAAGGTTATTTTGGGCCAAGTTTAGTATCTCTAATTGCCACAGTGGTTCAAATGTCCCCTGTTCTATTACTGATATCAAATTGTCATCCAAAGTAACGGCCCTCAGAGCATTACTCTCTTGGAACATCCTGCGTGAAAGTCTTATTAAAGAATTACCAGTCATCTTAAGTTCATCAAGGGAAGTTTTGTTGCGAAGGAAGAGCCTCGCTGAGTAATCACTCAGGCCATTCAGGGATAGGTCCAATCTCCTCAGTGTACCAATGGATTGGAGAGCTTTGCTGTTGCTGCCAAGGTTGTTGTTCAGTGCATTTCTGGACAAATTCAACTGCTCGAGCTGAGCCAGATTTTCAAAAGCTCCTTTGGAGATAAGATCCAGCTGGTTAGAACTGAGATCCAGCTGCTCCAAGTATGGCAAAGCAAGTGTTTGTAACTGTCTGATGAAGTTATTGGACAGGTCTAGTCTTTTAAGCCTTGTATCTAAATCCTGAGGGACAGAATGGAGGCTGTGATTGTTCCAGGTCTGCTCCTTGAAATGGAGGGAACATTAATCATGATTAAAGTGTAAAGCATGCAAACCAACATCAAACAATCTTAGCAGATTTGTCAGTAAAGTCAATGAACCACAGCTTTACTGAACAGACTGTAGACGTTGCAATGATGTTAACATATTTTGCACTTAAATGACTCATGTTGAACCTACCTCTAGATCTTCAATCTTCACAGCATCGATAAAAATGTCACAGTTGTGTGAAAAGAGAAGCAGAAGGTTCAACAACAAGTGTCTGACCATTGTCTCTGGTTTGCTGCTGCATCTGCTGTTAGTGAACTGCGAAGCACCACTGCTGACACACCCTCTTATAGCCATGCTCTGGGGGGAAAAAAGTGACAGAGAAAACAACCCTGGACACTAGATAGACACTGTGGATCTATATTTAGAAGTTTGGCTGTCTGGCTTGACCTATAATATTCTACAGTTGCAGAAAACAATGACCAGAGAAATGTTATTTAGACAGATCTTAAGCACCATTCACAGTTTAATGCTATCTTTAAAACTGAGAATGAATATTGACCTAACAGCTTAAACTGTTACAACTTTTCATCATATATATAAAATACATTTGATCACAATGTATTTCTTAGATGTTAGCAGCTGCATGTCAGTAAGGGGATCCTCCTGGGTGATATAAATACATATAGTAACTTTATTTGTTCCTGTCATAGTCTGAGGATAATGGAAACCATCCTTAAATAGGTGAGGGGAACAAATAAACAGACAGAGTAGAGGTGGAGCTGGAGGAAAAAAAACACAGCAAGGTAAACAGACACCTGTAAAAATAGACTGATGAAAGGAGGAGGTAATACATATAAACACAACAAAGGGACAGGCGGAGGTGGTCTACACCTGACAGATATACAAATACTCTCAAAGCTGTTACTTTACAATAAAGGGCATTTAAAACACATCAGGATGGTCAGACAATTTTTAAAGTGATGTATTTCCCTTAGATTAGGAAGCTTCCTGCTTCTGCCAGAGGATGGACTATCAGTGTGCCCTCACACAGCTTTCCACTTCCTGAAATAATGAGATACAAAGCCAGGCTGTCTTCTCTCATTTGAGTCATACAATACCAAAAAAGGTCAAGGCTGCTTCCACTGAAATGGGACATTATGCCTGTAGTCTGTGTTGGACCCCTAGCTGCAGCGGATCGTCCTGGTGCAGATGCACAGTACCTGTGAAAACATCAGCAGATGGATGATATTTAAGAGAAAACAAACTTTAAATGTCTTACTAAGCAGTTTTCAGCACTTGTTGGCTTCAACTATAAATGTCTTGGACGTCTCCACTGAAGGGAACCGCATTCTTCCAAAACACATGCAGCTATTATTTTGAGAAAAGTGGTTGTGAAAGATGGTGTCAATCCAGAATCCAGTCCAGAGATGCTGACTTTGAAGATCACAGCGCAAGATTATATAAGTGGGCCAGTTACCCTTATGTGGAAGTAATTGTGTGAGTTTCATTCTCCCACTCATGTGTTTCGCCTCTAAAATGTTATAATTGTCAGATGGATGCCATTTAAAACTATATAGAAACAGACTGCTCAAGGCTGTTTAGTGTGGAGTAATAACTTGACATTTTTGTTTCAATAAATATTAACTGAATAGCAATGTTTGACACCAAAGCATACCGTTTTTCAAATCCAACTCATAAGTAAATGTTATTAAAGGTCCATTTTGACACCATCACTTGTTTTATTCATCTCTCTCCCAGTAAGGATTTATGTCTTGGACCACAAAGCGTGTAAAATGGGCTGAAAACGGAATCACTTGTTGTTTTCTCCATGGATTGTCCTTTGTTGATGGTAACCCACACAATTTACCTATTTTTTTATTTTTTAAAAATGAGAATGATTTTTTTTTCACTCTAAGTCATTTTATGAAGCTTAATCAAATGCACAAATCAGAGGTCAGGATTTTTCTGACAACAAATATTTCCCAGTGAAAAAATACATCAAACAGGGGGCAGTAATGCAACTCAAAGCATGCAAAGCTCCCATTGAAGCCCCATAAAGGCAAAAAACAAGATAACGGGAAGGCTAGCATGGAGAGCTTAGCTTAGCTTATCCTCAGTAAACAAAGTATTTTGTAGTTTTGACCACAATTCTAACGTTTTTAAGGACAGGAATACGTAAGTAAAACATAAAAACAGCACAATGGCCATTAGCACTCTATTTATAGCACCTACTACTGGAAAAGGATGGCTACAAGTATAGAACAGTGGGAGACTGATTTACACACGTACTGATGAACTATTATTTATTTATACATTCAAAACCAATTGTTTGCGATTGCAATTTTAAGATGCATATGATTGTAGATGGATCATTATAAAAAAACAAATTGCATTTTCCTTTGTAGGAGCCACAGTGCAGAACAGCAGCAGTGCTTCACTGACCTGCAGTGTAGTTTTGGCAGGTGTTGCAGCAGCAGGCAGCCCAAGGTCTCTGTTGACGTCTTAGTGCAGCTCCAGCTTTGGATAATGTGACCCATGTCTGTGCCTGGGCTTTTAAACAAAACCTGTGAATTAAGTGGAACATCAGTTGAAAAGCTGGAACAAATCAGACGTAATATCAATTTAGTTATGCGTGAGTTCAGTGACAGAGTACTTGTCCAAACACCAAGTAATAACCATTCTCTTGGACTGAAGTTCTGTTTTCCTTTTGGGAAATTGCATTTCCTTGCAGTGCAGAAACAGTCCAAGGGATCTCAGTTATATTTGCTGTGGGAAAAGGCAAAATACTTAAACTCACAATAATGCCAGCAAGTCTAACACTGAAGCCAAGGAGTAGATTTTGGTTTCACCTCTCTTTTTTTGACTTTTTGTTAACGTTAGTCATTACTGGAAGAATGTTGGAGCCAGCAAGAATGGGACATTACACTTTAATTTTGTTAACTTTGCAAATACCCTTCATATTCTCACTACCAGATTAGACTGTAAGAACAGAATAGGTTTTTGCTTTGGGGCTTCTTTCTTTTTTTTTTTGAAAAACCATGAGCCCTTCAGAAAGGACTTAATGTCCCAAGAGAAAGCACAGCATCAGAAGAAATGTTTGAAAATCTATCTAAGTGCACGATAATCCTATGACTCTCACTTGTACAGTGTCCAAGATAACCGCATATTCCATAATCAGTGACATACCTCAATTGGTTTAGACATTTTGACCACTTTCTTATTGACTCTCTCAGTAAGTGGACGAATTGGTATAAGATTCAAGTCTCCCAAGAGTTTCCTAAAATACATTCTAAAAACTCTCACTAAGGAGACCAAAACAAAACATAAACACTGCTTGTTAACAAAGAAAAAAAAAAAGTGAACGCGTACGTAGCAGCCTGCAGGCTGGCTGCTACGTACGCGTTCACTTTTTTTTTCTTTGAGTTTTTTCTTTGAGTTACCTAAATGGTTGAGGTAACACGTCAGTAAACCCAAATGTTTCCAAATGAGAAACCATCTCCTCTCTGCTCTTCAAGATTGAATCCATGTAGTTTGCATGATTACAAGCAAATTGCAGCAAGTTTGTGAAACTTGAAGACAAAGTTAAGGCCTCTGTCAAAGACCATGCCTTGTTCTTGTCAGTACTTGTGCCAACAGAGTCCGATATAAAAGAGAAAAGTTCTAGCCCTCTCAGGACTCCACCGCCTGCGTGAGCACAGAAAGCAGACAAATGCGTTCAGACAGACAATGAAACATTTTAATCCATCAATCAACTCCATTTACAAAAGTATATCCCATTTTATATACAGTATGTACAGAGAAGTATAAACAATTATAATTTTCCACATGGACTCATTCATATGTATCTAAACAATAGCACTGGAACAAAAACATATCACTGATATGGATGCTGTAGTGCAAATGTGTGCAAAGTATATAGTGCTGTTGCTCCGTGAATACCTTGTAACTCCACTTTTAATGACTTTTACTCTTTACACTTTAAACATTTATATGCTTTAATTACTTCTATAATTGAGGGACACATAAAGCTTTGATCACCTTCTCATACAACTGATAATATATTTAAATTAATATTTAAACAGGGCAAGTAAAAAGTCTGCACATAAAATGTTCAAATAGCTTGTTTCTGTTTTGGAGATACAAGATTGTCATTCAACAGCACTGGAAGGTTTGTACAGATTAAGTATCTATCAGCGCAGTGTCTTTTATTGTTACACAGAGAGACGCTGTCTGTCTTGTCTTTGTCTTTGACACAACGTGGCGACTATAAATATAATATTTTTTTGTCTGATGAAGACACTTGGCTCATCAGGCAGACCTCTGCACAGACTCAATGTGACAGGAAGCCTGACATGTCTTTGGTTGATCCCGTTAAAGTGAACAACAGTCACTCAGGGACTTCTTTCAAACAGGTCCAGAAAGGAAAAAAAGATCCCATCAATTCATGAACGCCAGATACTGCAGGACAAGAAGACAGTTCGACTCTTAACCGGTTTGACCGGAGAGATTCTTTCTGCTGAGGCCTGATGGCTCTGTAGTAATCAATTCTGTCCAGCAGATGGAGCCTCTCCAAGTCTGACACTTCCCAGGAACGTGGTGTGATTGGTCATACTAATGAGTGTGTCCTCATAAACTATACGTATTGAGATCCTCTGACCTGCGCGCAGCAGGCTGACTCCAGCCGTGTAGCACGTGTTGAACTTGCGCTGACCCGTCTCGATGCTGCAAGTGCAGCGAAGGAAAGGGTTTGAGTCCACCATCACCTCGTAGCTGGCGATGTCAGTAAAGTTGAGGTAGTACACCTGGTGGAGAGTGAGGGAGAGGCAAAGGGTGCAAAAGACTTAAAACTGTGGTCAAAACAAGTTCGCCTAACATTGGAGAGCTTATTAAAGCTGAAACAGCTGGGATATCGGAGTGGCCAACTGATGTTTGCGCTAAAGAGTTGCACAAAGAGCCACCAAAAGAATATGGAAAAAAAAAGGTCTTACAACACAAAACAAACAGAGATGTTACGCAGCTTAACTTTAGAAGGTCTCCTAATTCTTTACCATCTGAACTGTAAATCTTAAGAGTTACGTCAAGGACCGTACTCACTTCTACCTGACTATATATGAAGTAGACACCGTCCAGCAGCACCTCCAGCTCTCCAGAGCGCGGGTGCATTTTAAACACACGGTGGTGGATGGACACCATCTTCCAGTTCCTTAGAATGCCTTCAGAGAGATCTACAAACACAACACAAGCAGAGCAAAGCAACAAACGGTCAGCGTCAGAAGCTTCCAGCTGAGTAGAAGTACAACCAATAACCGGTGTTGACATAAAGTATAAACCTGCTAATTATGTTTGGACTACTAAGACTAGACAGACTCAGTGATGCAGAGTAATGTGAACCTTCCACCATACAAGGCTCCTGCTTCCTGACCTGAGCTAACATGGGTCTTGTAACACAAGCTCCTAACTTCTCCCTAATCCCGTAATGGCTATAGGATTACATTAGGGTTACTATAATCTTACATAATCTTTAAGCACATATTGTTAGAAACATTGAACCAAATAAATCTCAGGTCCTGTGAAGGTCACTGCATTCACAGACTATAAGGCCATAAAATGTAAATATCAGTTGGACTCAACAGGGTAAACAGTTCTAAATCAACTAAACCACTTTGTTGACACATGCAGGCTTTTGACAAATGGCACCGACAGACAGTATGAGTATGTTTATTATTTTTAACATGTGATTCGCAGCGGTTTAGACCCACCTTCTCTCACTTGGATAGTTGTTTCCTGCCCTTGCAAATGAACCACCGCCGGCTGGAAGTCCTTTGTTTTTGTTCTGTCCAGAACCCCTGCAACAATAAGAGCAGGAGAGGAACACGGTTGAAGGGAAATCTGATCTTCCACACATTTAAGGACTTGGTAAAAATGAATATCCCACACAATGTCAGACATATCGCGTATGAAAGCCACAATGTGCAGACAATGAGTTCATCAGTTTTTACAACCTGAGCCCCCTTCCTGTGTGGGAATGTGTCTGCGTGCAGGAAATGAATGTAATCTAAGAACAAATCTCTACTTGTGCTGTTTTGAATATCTTTTCAGCCTGAATCTTTATTATCTACAGTAGGTGAATTACATCATTTCTATTTCATGATTAATACCTGCTGGACCTTGAGCGCCAGGGGGTCCCTGTGGCCCCGGAGGACCAGGGGGTCCTGCAGGCCCCACGCCAATGTTTCCTGGAATACCGGGTATTCCAGGGATTCCCGGTGGGCCCTGTGGGCCCGGGGGACCAGGAGGACCAGGAGGCCCAGGTATAGACCTCTTCTTCCCTTTAAGAAAGGAGACAAGTAAAATTAGCACACAAAAATATGACCTTTTTAATCTATATTTAAACCCCCCAAACCACAGAAATTCCTCACTGGGATTAGTAATATGTGGGACATGGGATTTTAGAAGCACATTTTTCACATAAGGAATAACAGGACATAAGAAAAATATGTCAGTCAAATGTGGACAGGTGGTCATTTACTCCTTTGAATTTTGGATTTGGAGGAGAAACACAGCATGGAGGTGTTTGAGTGAAACTTGTTCAGAATTGTAAATCACCTTTTTTCCTCTCTTTCCTTTTCTCCTTCCCTGTTGATTCTGGAAAAGAAAAGAAAAGAAAAAGAGCGTGATTAAGCTTGAAAAGGTCTGCTGAACAATTATCATCTCGGATAACATCTCGCCTACACACCTCACTCTGTGCAGGCATCCTAAACAGGCTAAAATAACAGATTCATCATGTGGTGCCGCTGCACACTGGAGTGGAGGTATGTCAGTCTGTGGTATTTTCTAGTGTAGTAATTTGTAAGTGTGGTTTCACCTCCTCTGTATGAACAAGTGCCTTAAGCATTCACAGGCAGTGGAACTGGAGAAGATCATTAGAGAGATACTTTATCCTGCCAAAATCCTTTTCTTTGAATTAAGCCCAGATGCAGGATACAGATGAAAGTGTGTGTGTGTGTGTGTGTGTGTGTATGGATGTTGGTGGGGCATCTATTGTATGTCAGGGCTTGAAAGACAAAATGCTCTCGGTGTGGTGCTGCTCTGTGTGCGTGGCTCAAGAAACCTTTTCAAAATGCCCTCTCGCTGTTCTCGTGTTTACCATGTCATTACAACTACAAAGACCATTTAACCTTAAAACCTCACAGTTTGAGTCCCCTCAAACATATGGCCAGCATTTCTCCTCTGGCTAAATGACTGGATGCATCCGCATAGATTTCTCTTAACGAGCAGCCCTATCTGGAATCTGGTGCCCGTTAGGAGTGCACACACAAAGACACGCACACACGGAGTACACACACACACTTCTAAGGCTGAGATTACAAAAGCCTTTGTCTGTGCACTGAGAGCAGAAGAGAGACCTGGGAATGATTAGTGTTTAGAGGCTCGGGACTTTACTGATTTATGTAGAAAGTCTCAAAGGTGAGTTTTTTCTTCTAATTTAAACACAATTACTAAACTTCCCCCCAAGTATTCAGTGTCACGCCACAGACATTGGAATGCCTTGTGATCATGCTGCACTTGTTGCATTTGCACAGGGAACTTCAAAGGCTTTGCTTTTTATTTGCATAGCTCACATACTGGAAAACAAGAAGGGAGGGGACCGAGGGGGGAAACTACAAAGGCTAATTTTTTTCTTTGGCGCTATTGATTACAACATTAATTCATGCGATTCGATAAAATCCATCCGAAGTCGTCCACCTGGGTTCCTGGAATGACTTCATATTCCCAGAAGTGATGGTGTTTTATTTAGTCTAATTCTTCTCTGAGTTCAGGCGTGACTGATAACACACCAGCCATCCAAGGGCTGCTCGGCTGACAAATATGAAAGATATTTTGAGGAACTGATTTTATTTTAAGATGGTGGAAATCAACACAGGCTCGGCTGTTTGTTTTCAAATTGGTGAAACCCTCCCAAACCTCCCTGCTCTCCAAGTAATAATCAATTCCATTCCAACAAATCTCTTGCTCTATAAACTCAGCAACATCATGTGGTTGAGCTGCTGTTGAGCCTTGAGCAGTAAATAAAACATCACTTGGAAAAAGTTTTTAAAAACCCTCGCATTATAGGATGTATTATAATGTGAATATAAATTAACTTAAACCAGCAGTTACAGGAACCATTGCCTCAAAGTTGGGAAAGTTCCATGAATGTTACACACATGCAGGTGCACCAGAGGGCATACTCTGGTTGATTCATTAAATGTACTAAATTTAAAGCCACAGCCCTAATAATAGAGATGGTCCAGCAATAAAGCTTAAGTATCAGCATATGTCTTTGTCAAAGCATTAGGATTAAAGACATTACATGAGGATAAATCCAGAAAGAATTGCTCATACCTGTATCTGGCTGCTTGGCAGGACTCCTTTTCGCCCGCTGGGTTATGCCCCTGTTGTCCTCGGTGGTATGGAAACCACCATTTCTGTGCATTAACCTCTCCTGTGAAGAAAAAAAAGAGCATAAAATAAAACAGCGTCTGGAAAAAACTTTGAGCAGGACATTACTGGGACTCCTGCAGACAGACGTTTTTCAGTCTATGAAAACCAGCCATGACCATGTTACATGTTTGTTTCAACAAAACAAACAAAAGCCCGAGTGGTACAAGTTTTCAAGCTCGTAACCACTTTACAAGTGGCCTTTCTGTCCTTGAGGTATAATGTTTGCACAGACAACTTGAGGCATTTGAAAGGATTTGAGACACTGTCAGACGGCACATTCATTTGTGGCCAAGTCATTGTTTGCCCCATCGGGCTGTAATCCATCCTGTAACCCAAGTCAGTTTTGTCTGTGTTTCTGCTGTTTGAGACAGTCACCTGGTTGCTGCTGCTCTAAAATTCACCTTTTCATACAAAAGGAGAACATGAATTGTGGTTAATCTGAGAGTAGTACCCATTCAAGGGGCACCTGGTCTCAGACCTATTCTCAGGCAGCATGAATGAGCTAAAACAACAGAGTGAAAGAAAAGGATCTGATGGAGCTGGTCACTGCTAAAAGCAGGAAAACCCAAGGAAAACCTGTAGTGGTGTGCTGTTCCCATGGGGCGAGAAAGTGGCGAGACAAACCACATGCCTATGTTGTTATGTGACTGGTTCTGGTTGACCTACATTCACATGAACCCTGTAGGACATGTTGACCTGACTGTAGCACTCTGAGGATGTGACCGCCTCTAACAACTCAGGTCTATGACGCTCTAGGGATCTGAGGGGTTGAAAGACAGATTATCCAAAAATCACTTTTGGTTAGGAGAGCCAGTTTGTGCTCACATCTTTGGTAAACCGCCAGACGTCAGTGGACAACATGAGACAAGCTTCGTAATGTAAAAGAAAATCGCTTTTGGTCACACTTTGGTGTGTCCCCATAAATCGTGCCGTGTAGGAGGCTCTGAATGAACGAGGACAGACAACCAGACAACTTCCATTGTGCTGGACATCTGCTTGGAGTTTGTATAACTGACATTTCTAAAGCAGTGACACATGTAGCACCTTAACAAGGATCAAAAAACAATAAATAATGGATTGGAGTACTATTCTGCATTTTTTTTCTATATCTACTTATGAATCCGACACGCTTACTGACAGACACTATGACCTCCCTTTCTTCACAGGGGTTTATCCCAGTTAGGGATAAGAGATGACATATTCCATGTTCCCATCTGTGACGCTGGAGTAAACATAGTTGTTAAACTCTGCCGAGGGCCAGAAATCTCCTCGTGAAAGCAGCGTGAACTCCCGTTGCCTCTTGTGTGGTTTAGAAGCAGAGCAACCGAAAGACCATGAGAAGACAGACCAAAAAGTTATGTTTCCAGTTTCTCCTATACCTCGTCTCAGATGTGGGAACTCACTCCTGCTGTGAGGGATGAGCTGTATCGTGTCACCCCCCCCCTATGATCTGTGTTGGGCAAGCTCAATGTTGTTAAAGTCTACATCCCTGACCAGATGCCAGCCATGTCTGACCTTATGAGCGCAGGAATTCCACCTTGATGGAGGAGTATGTTGGAACAGTTTATCGGCGCACAGACCTCCAGATGTTCCCGCAAGCAGCAGCGTTTGCTGTTCATTTGGTGCACAGGTGTCTCCACATCTCCTCACCAGCTGTTGGCATATAGGGGGCTTTTACCTCTCAAAGGATTCTGGGTGTGTGTTCAGGCATATGGCATTACACTTTCGTCTGTTCTGACAGCCAAACATGATTCCACAGCCAATCTTGGCCGGGATTAAGCTTTAACAGAACGGACAGCCAAACATGATTCCACAGCCAATTTCTTGGCCGGGATTAAGCTTTAGCAGAACGTGAAAAAAAACAAAAACAAAAAAAAAACACAAAAAAACAAACAAGCCGTCTGCTAGCCTACTACTAGACTGCTCCGTCTGGTGTTGAGATGAAGGCAATAAGGCACTAATAAAAAAGAAAAAAAAATACTTCATGCAACAGCTATGAAGAATGGTTCTGTGCCAATTTTTGATTTCACTTCATTAAAACATTTACAACACTTACGCACATCAAAGGCACAGAGTTACAGTAAATCAGGATGACAACGTGTTGGTATGTATGCCAAGTGCCAACTCGTGAGTAAACCCTTCTTTTTCAGGACAAAGGAGAAAATGCTATCAATTAGAGGGCTCTTAACTCTTCAAAGCTAGGGGGGGTGTTGCTTTTATGCTCCAAAGGTTGAGATTCCCCGTTGTGTCCTTGCTATACGAGGATATGACTAAAACTCACTCACCTTAGAGATGTACAATTTTTCTATGCCGACATTTCTACTTTTGTTCACCAATTTTTAAAAGGCGACACCAATAAAAAAATGCTGCCCTCAAACCACTGACCCCGACATTCATAACATTTCAAAATGACTATGGTAATAAAATGCTCTGGCTTGTGTATACATAAAACCATTGTGCCTTCTGTCCTTCCAGCTCGGATTTTATTCCACAAATACAGACATTTGTGGTTGCGGTAACGCCTTAAATTTTCTCTGCTAGGCCAAGATTTAGTCACTTAATTGTGGTTTGAGAATGTGGGGTTGCAAAAGTTGAAGAGGTAACGCTGAGGTCTGCGGGTGCCAGATGCACACGGAGTACCCATCACCACTGCACGGGCATTACTTATGTTGAAGGCATGCATACCTTTTGGGTCGTGATGGATCATAATTACTTCTTTGATTCACGCACTTGGCTAGTACGAGGACAGGGTGTTTTCTTCTTAAATATCTCTGAGAAGGAGTGTCCCACAATCAAATAGAGCTCTCTGGAAGGCCATGTGGTTTGAAACATAGCTGGGCTAATTTAATAACGGCACCCATAGATTGCCATCTAAAAAGCTGTGGAACTCAACCTAAGGGAAATGTTGCCTGTCAGCAGCCAGTCACATTTTAGACTCTTGCAACACTTGTTGGCAAAGCGGTGCCGAGCTGAAATGCCGTGAATGCCTTGAGAATTTATTATTTTTGGTAGACGTTTGTGACTCTGGACTCAATCTTGACTGGGCGTCTGCTTCAACTGCCTGTCAAGACTATTCTTACACTGTTTTCAGACTCACATTGCTGATGTTTTCACCTCCTATGCCCCATGTGCTTTTATCACCCTGGCGTCCACACCAATGAATCAGTGACCTGTCGTCCAGTACTGACAATACACGTGATGTTGCTTGTTTTCACTAATCATGCGCTGGTCACAATTAAAGCAGGGGTGGGTTACAGCCCACCACTCCACTCCACTCCAGAGCATGTAGGCTGCTAAGGACTTTGTGTCCCATCAAACTGACTTTTTTAATAGCCGTTAACTAGACTCCAGATGTTTCAGCATCTGTTCTTTGTGGGACTTTGAAGGCACACATCAGAGGGGCGAATTTATTTCATATAATGGCTATAAGAAAAAATGTAAGACTCGTGTATGAAAGACTAACCCACCAAACACAAATCGAGGATTGATTTTTATTAGCTATACTTGCTGCGGTCTGCCGACTCTAAGTGACAGTTAGTCATGCCCTGCGACGCACTCGTGCCTCACACTCAAGACCAACACACACATGGGAGGAGCGTTTTTTTTTTTCTGTTGGGAACGATGCAGATCTGCTGGACAGCTGGGATTTACTGCCTTGCTCAAGGGCATACCAACTGCTAAAGGAACGAGTGTTTGTTCCCTTCCCAGATTCCGATCATAAATGACCAGATTATTTGCTCTTGTTAAGAGGCAACGACAAGGATCTGAAAGTGTGAGGGATGTTAAGTGGTGTGTAATGTGTGTAAGTACTTGTCACGAATGAGTCAAATTCTGCAACAAAGGTTTTAATCCGATGTTACTTTTTCACTGTGGCACTTTTATTATGTATTTTCTTTTTACATTACGACTGCTGGCAAGATATCTGAAGGAGCGTAAACCTTTCAAGTGCCAGTTAAGATAAGTGAAGAATGTTTCTGGTCTTAAATCTGTGAAAACAGATAAACTTTTATGGACATCCTGTTAGGTGCTGGTAGACCTAAATACTGCTCTATTGTCAATCATTTAAGTTCAATTGTTTGCTCTTTGGTTCGATTTGCTCACAACACAACACTTTAAAAACCTGATTATGACAGGTTGTATGGCCAGGATCTGTAGTCTGGACGTTTTGGCCAAAATAGCCGTCTTCAAACTACAAGAGTATGTTCAAGTATGTCCAGTGGGTCCCGCCAGGCCTCTGCTGAGTGACTGTATAAAAAAGTGTCAGGAGGTGGCTGAAGTTCAACAGCACAGAAATAGAACAAAATGGATTACAATCTGGTCAGCAGTAACACTGAAACTAGATATGACTATAGTGAAACCTAATTTACTCGCAGAATAAACATTGGAGTGTGTTTTATTTTTATACCAAACAACTTGAAGCCTCTGAGACACTTTGACAATCTAATGAAATTTTATCCTCCATAATGGCGTGATCTCAGCTGTGCAAAAAGGTTCTCATTGGCTTTTGTTTGACTTACAAAACTGTTAATCAATACAGTTATGAAAAATGTCTGGATTTTTGGTTGGGTGCACTGTTTATAAAAGTTGATTTATGTTCAACACTGACCGAACCCAGTTGAAAAACCCCTGACAAGCACCAAATGTGGAGCGCAAACCACTTGTGCTTTTCATAGAAAATCTCCACCGCAATGTGGATTGAATCCATTTGAACAGAAGTTACACATTGATACTACATTACACCATGTCAAGGCTTATATACTATGACTACGTCAGCTGTGATATGCTGCGTGTGGTTGACGTATCGCTTCCATACCTGCGTAGCTGGAGTTCTCTTGTGTTTTTTCGTGACAACCTTTTTCATATTCTGTTACACTTGTCTGTATACCTGAACATCATTTCAAATTCCACTCACTCCGTTGACATCCCTTTGATGAGGAGCTGTGAGAAAAATGCAATAAACAATTTTTAGCTCTACAAAAGGGGACCCTTCAAAGAAAAGGCCCGAAAAGCTAACAAGTGCGGCCACTGCGCCCAAATGCCACATGCTCCTGTTTCTTCAACTATGTAAACTGTGGGATGTGTAATCAGAGTTGTTTAATGCAGACATCTGGTAAAGACTGCATCACAGGGCTGTTAAATATTTACAGCCTGGCTACAGTCTTTCACCTCATGAAGAGTCACCATCTGGGCTGAATACCAGGCCCATCTCACTCATCTCCAACCAGGGAAACCACTACTATCTAAAATAAGCTTGGCAACCAACGCGCTCAGGCCTAATGAAAAGGCTGAACTTCCCACTTGTGAAAGGAAAATTAAATGAAAGGAAAATGTTACAAACCCAGAATATCGTGGAGGGATCTTTAAATTCTTTCCTGCAGAAAATAGTCCGAACCAAATAACCTGAATTCCTGTGTCTAAAAATAACGCCAGTAAATTTTATTATGAGCGATCAATTCTCTGGACGCACAATGATGTGATTTGAACATTCCTTCTGATAAAATGAGTGTGGGGGTGTACGGTCTAAGGAGGAGGCTGCCGTTGCCAAAGCCATAGACAACACAGTGAAAATTCAATCAGCCGGCCGCCAGAAAAGAAAACACATGCGAGACGAGACTGGCTGCGCTCCAAGTACCAACTGGTCCATCTAAATCCTGATGAATTTACATCAGCCCTGGGGCCTTGCACCTGCCGGTGATCCAGCAAATTTTCCGTCCACCTGCTCCAGCACACTGACTGGCTCTGACCTGGGACTATGAACCTGAGCTGGGCAGCCGGCCTCACCTCTGAGCGTCTACCTCTGGAAACAAGGCAATCTGGGGTAAATGAGGTTTGATTACAGGAGAGGGGATAAATAACCAGAGCCATTCTGCAGGTAAATGACCTCCTTCATGGACATTACCATGAATTACATTAACGCTCAAACCATCTGCACCGTCTCGTCTCAGGACGGTCAGCCATCACCTCCTGCACATCTGTTTTCTGCACCTGAATGCAACATTTTTCTTCCAAAGACAACTCTTTTTTTACTCCAATATTTGCATTTTTAAAAAAATTAAACCATATTTTCTATGATGTAATTAGTCTTTAATCTGTATAATGTATGTTAACTTTTGCTCAGAGCATGTTTAACAATGTTTAATCACCAATCACATCAAGCCAGAAAGAAGGCTGGTACCCTACTTAATCTACTACTACTAATCTCTTCTGACATTTGACACATTTTTTCATCAATTTGTCCATCCAACCTCCAAACATCCATCCGCCCATCCACTACTACTTACTAAGAAGCATAGGAAAAGCATGAGCCAGACGCAGTTGACTTTGGCTGAAGACAGTGTCTCCATGGACTTCACTATTCATCACAATGACAAACAACATTTACACTAAAAAAAAAAAAGAGGTTATTGAGGTCCAAATAACCTCATTTACAATCTCCATGTTTTGTATTGTGGACCATTTTTGACCTCCAGTGACCAGTAAATTAACTAATAGCTCCTTAAATTATTTTTTAATTATACTTTTGGTTTGTTTTAATAAAAAAATCTGTATTTTCACCATCTTTATTTTTTGTTCTATTTGTTCAAGAGAAAAACTATTTAAATTTTAATTCATTTTTGTTTCTTTACAGATCAAACGACTTGTCGACTAGTGACGATGATAATAATCGTTAGGTTTATCGACTAATAAACTTGACATAGGCTGTTTTCTATGGCCCTCTCTGGGTGAAGTTACCTCAGCTTTTGAACAAAAAGAAAAAGCTCAAAATCTTTAGAGATCCTTTTTTTTTAAAATCTCGAGGAGAATCACGCACATGACAGCGGTGATTCTGACCATATCTGACCTGCGTGACAATCAGTAAGTGGGCCAGGAACATGCCATGACAGAGCACCCACACCGAACCTGATACCGGTAATACCGAGTCTCAGCGGTAGGACGGTTGTTGATGAAAAACCTCCGTGCGTGAAATTAAAAAACAAACAAATAAACACACAAACAAAACTTGTTATACAGTAGATTACAGGTTGTCTTTACCTCACGACTCTCTCCTCCTCCCCTGCTGCCAGAGTCCTGTCTTGGGTGTCCGGGAGGAGAGAGGACCGGCGGCGGGTCAGCCAGGTCACTGCCCGCGAGCGTCAACATGGAGTCCCGCTTCTGGTGGATTATTTCCCTTTTCACCTCGGAGCGCAGGTCCAAATACGAGTGTGACGGCGGGCAGGGATAGTGTCAGCATGAATAATCCCAGGAAGATCAGGCTGCCGCTGCGGCTCCTGCACTTCTTACTACACGTGCAGGGAGCCGCTCCGGGCATCACTTTGTGCGGGAAGTCCTCCGGGGGAGAACCGTCGCATGCCATTGTCGGACGGAGCGGGAGCCCGGAGCTCCTTACATCGGCATAGTCGCCACGCCTGATCTGGCGCGAGCCGGGGCTATTCATTTACGTGGAGACTCATAGATGCAGTAGCTTCTGCAGCAGCTTCAGCAGTGGTGGAGGAGACAGGTCCGAGCAAACTTCTTGGAGTATCTGTAGTGACAAACCCAGCCCCTCCCTGCTCCTCTCTGATTGGTCCGTGGGTCCAGGACCGAGGCTGCGAGCCGAGGGGAAGCTGTGGATGTTGCGTCAGGTGCAGGAGATGGGCGACACCTAACGGGCAAAGTCGTGCGCTGCATCCTGTGATTATGAGAGCAATGCATGCTGTTGTCCAGACTTGTCTCTAGTAAGAGTTGAAGTCAGCAGCTCACTGGCCAGGTTCAAGATGACTGACATCTGGTTTTGATTATTTGTTTTGGCGAATCATCTGCTTTATTTTTATTTGGGTGATCCGTGAATCAATAATTCAGCGATTCAGAACCTGATCAATTTAGATCTGAATTTCTTATATCCATATCTATATATATTCTACAGAAATATATATATAGAAATGTATATATATATATATATATACATCAATAAATATTATATATATAATCCATCAGTTGCAGTGAAGTAAAACCAAACAACTGTTAGCACACAGTTGGAAAATCAATTATAAATATAAAGTCATCCAAGCCCATGGCGGGAACTTAATGAACTTTAGCAGTGTTGAAGCTTTAATACAATGCTTAACACTAAGCCGTCAGGCAAACTCTACCAGCATGTGGCAGTCACAATAAGTCAGATGCAAGACACATGTAGTTGTGAATGAAAAGCAGTTCATCTGATGTGTATGGAACCAGCAGTGAGTCAGATATGACCGATGTAGTGTGAACGTAGTCTCCGTCTGCTCAGGCACATTTACTGGTGATTTTTCTGTTTTCGTGAGTGTTAACAGGAAGTCACTGGTGTAACCCGCTGTTTTGTTTATGTGTTTAAGGTCTGGGACATGCCATTTTTCATGTGTGGCCTTTGTTTGGCACTTGGTCTTGTTTTGTGGGTGGCATGCAGAGTGAGGGTCCTGTGTGAAGAATTGATTCAAATCCCTGGTAAATACAGCCGCTGGTGTTATTGAAAAGGACCAGAGCGGTTGACGTTTTCATCACATAATCAAAGCGCGGAAAACAAGTGCAAATTGTATTCTCAAACACACGACATGTCGCATAATGGTTTTTAATTCCATCTGGAAGCTGTCAGGCGGCGCAGCATGATATCAGAGCCTGGAGGAGAGTCTGTGTTACCGTTAGGTCATCACCACTCTGTGTACAACACCATCAACTACTCTAAACACATGTCCCTCAGCTTAGGACCCAGGGAACAGTTTGACATTTATGGTACCAAAAATGCCAGGACAATGCTTTAAAAAGATTGACTGTGGCACTGTGGTTTCCACATTCTCAACATCCCAAGCCAACCTCAGCCCGGTTCCTTTCAGATGTCACCACTTTGATCTCAACAGCAGGGAACCCTGGGTAGTCCATGGACAGATTGAACTAGAACTAAAAGTAAAACTGGTCTGGTCTTAGCCCTGAATATTGTAACGTCTTGTTCTGAATACCTCAGTTGCATTTTAAGCTAAGGCCTTAGATGTGATTGATCACCGGCTTTGACCGGTTGTCAGGCAACACAGCATTTGTCTTCATTTCTGTTTCACGACAGAACCTGACATTTGTGTGTACATGACCTACACATGACAGGTTACGATATCAGGTCATGTTGACAGACAATGAGTAATTGTTGATTTTCATCTCCTACTGTTGGGAACTTAATGAAGAAGAATGACACAGTGGAGACCAGAAGAGTCTCTCGTATCAAACGATATCCGTGTGAAGTTGATTACTATAAACACTGGATCTTGTTTTTCTTATTTCAGGCCATATTTTCAGTCATTCACTTCACACGGAAGAAAAGTGATTCTATTCACCTGCCACTGAAGGGCAGCATTGCCAAGCTATAAATCAATAACACTGTATTCCAGTGTTATTTGAACATAAAGCAGAGAAGAATGCTTTATTTTGATCAAATAATTGAATTTGAACGCTTCGATTATACTTCCAGGCAACGCTTTCTTTAGTTTGTCTGTTGACAACTGAGCTCATATTATGCTCCTCTCCTTCCCCTTTCCCTCTCCTTCAAAGTCATTCCTCTGTTGTGGGAGTATTGGATAATGAAATTGTGAGGAGAGAATTGAAAAAAGAAATTTAAAATAACTCTCACGGGGCCTGCAACTGGAGGCTCAGCATAAGCATGTTTGACACGCTTTTCATCTGAGCTGCAACCACAGTGACTTTGAGAGAAAGATAATGCAGGAGCAGGATATTTACTGTAGTCGTCAGATAATTATCAACGTTTCTGAGAAAGGAGTGAAGGAACAGAGCTAATTATTTTCTTTTTTCCCCTCAATCAATTAAAATGTTAAATAATTTGCCTTGTGATGGTGCAAAGGTCAAATTCAACATAACGCCTTTTGTTTGAGTCACCTCCACATTTACAGATACAAATTACACATACACATATTACAGTCTCTTTTTGCACACGACACGACCCAGCAACAACAATTAAAACGAGTCTTTTTGGCACTGGAAAAAGCTGGAATAATGCTTATAACATCCCCTGGGCTTGGATGCGGCATTCATAAATGGAGCGCTGCTCTATCCTCTCTGAGCTTATAACAGGATTTAGAGGCTTTCCCTGCCAGATGATGGAGTTTTGCAGGAGGAATTGGAACTTGTCTCTTTTACCATGAAGAGCAGAGCGGTGGGCTGCAGGCTTGTGGCTGCAACGAGGTGTTGAATAATGATGGCTGGAAAATCTGGGAATCCACACCCCTCCCCTCCTGCTGCCTCTTCTGAGGTCATTAATAAAAGAACAGAGCCTAAAATGAACTTTCTTCAGACATCACCAAGAATCACACACGCAGATTTATGCAGAGTAATTCACAGCTTATCGATGAACACCATTACCTCTGACAATAAACAGTTTCACTCTCTTCCTTACATCTTCGGCAGTCATTTATTCATTAAAGTCATTTAGTCATTAAATTGCAGACGTTCAACCGTAGCTAATTAATACGCCGAGCTTTTTGATTTTCTACCCATAAATCTCCAGACCACATATCCCATTTCCCTGAACGGTGATTAATGCACTCTGGCTGTGGGTGTCTGCCTTTTTCTCCCATCTCTGTCCTGTCTTTTTGCACAATACTGCACTTGTGTCTTTCCCTCACTCTCTCAGCGTGTTCATGTTTGAAGTGGGTGAACTTAATTGATTATTTCTATGTGCTGCTGTTAACAGGCAACGGAACCGTTCATGGGTTTACTCAGGGGAAACATGACCAGGGAGAACAGCAACAAATATAACATCTCCGTCCCTGTTTTTACACATTTTGACAAAAGTGATTAATATTGGATTTATTGAGCATTAATGAGATATTTTCACCAATTAAGATGGGATGAAATATCGTGTTTAAAAAAAATACAGCTTTATCGAATTTCACTAATAGCACACACTCCATGATAATTCTGTCTCACCTTTTAACCAATTATGGTTAAGTCGTGAGTAAAAACATGGTATTGATTTTTTTCCCCCCTCCGACCACTGGGGAGCAGCAAAACAAGGAGCAAACGAAATGCTACTATTTGGCTGGAATAAAGAACAGTGAACTAATTGGGCATCGAACAAACACAGAGCAGCATTAGCATTTGGTGTCATGTTTCTGTCTATTTGATGAATGGAACTCCAATAGCTACTTCTCTGTCTGGTTCTGTTTTGGTCTCTAGGGAAAAGTAAGGTGTGTGTGTGTTATTGTGTGTTTGTGTGTGTGTCATTTGCAATATATTTTGTTATATTTACTAGCTAATTAATAATTGTACCTTGTTTATTTGCAGAAAAAGTTAAACGCAGAAAAACCCAAGCTAAGAGTCGGTAAACACACTGTTGGACTGAGGAGAGCTGTCAAAGATGGTGATAATCCCTGTGGGTCGACCGCTCCGGGAAAAAAATATACATAATACATAATTAGTGCTGCTCACTATCGACTCAGTATAAAGTAACTTGTAAAAAAAACTTAAATAAATAAAAATAAATTCAGAACTTTCTCAAAGTATCACTAAAGAAGTAGTCTGCTACGGCTACATGGATTTTTTTTAAATTCTACAATCACACGTTTTCAGTGATGTTTGACTAAATTCACGTACTGTAATCAGGTTATTAGAAATTAACTCCATCGCATTCTCATGTGACTATCGTCAAACATATTTAGTTCATGATTCAGATATTCTGAAACCACTGTTAATGTTTAACCATCATGATTTGATTTTTTTTTCTCTCTACATCGACTCTTTTTTTCTATATAAATACCTCCAACGTGTCTTTTTTTACTGCTGTTTTGGTCTCAACATACTCCCACAGTATCTGCGTGGATAACACGCTAATAAAAGAGAGAGATCAACATACTCCCACAGTATCTGCGTGGCTAACACGCTAATAAAAGAGAGAAAAAAAAGGACGGCAGCAGATCAGGACGTTAATGTTTGTCAATGCTGAGACAAACAGTTATTTATACGTCGGCTTGTCCACAAATTATACACAGGGGACCCATCGTTAATATAAACATATTGATTATGACCACCAATAATAACCGGCACAGGAGCCAATTACTGAATCAGCGAAACAGAAGTTGTCCTGAGGTTAACAGCAGCGTAAACAGGGAAATAAATCCACCCTGTATGAAATATCACACTGTATCCAGAGAGCCGTCTTTGGCCTTTTTACATTCAGAAAAGGAATTAAAATTCATGAGGTGTGATTCAGTTAAAAGCATTACACCACTCAAATCTCTCATGCTTCACTGCCAGCTTTATCACCGGGGATTGTTTACATTTTAAGGTTTGTTTTTTTTAGGCATCAAATTGCTCAGTAATCCACTGCAGACAGAGTGACAGACAAAACAGATAATTTACACTGTCTTCTTGCAGACACTTGTATATCTTGGACGTGCTATGAGGCTGAATCCAATAAAGAGGTGAAATACGGGTGAGATGCGTGTTTTTTTATCAGCCCCAGGATGATAGTTTACGGCCTCTCTGTTCCTTGATGTTTTCTATGCTGGTCGTTTGTGAGACTCATGTGCGACTGCCACCTCTGAGAGTACAACCTCTGCCAACTTCAATAAACACTCACTACCCATATCAGAATCCCTAAGCCCAGCCAACAGCATGATCAAGCGGCACACCTGGGGTGAACCAGAGGTAATCTAAGTTTCGGCGCTGCTCTCTTTGTTTATCTCTCTGTCTCTGATGTTTTATTGGCTTATATTATCTCCTGCTTTAAAAT